TCACGTAATAACTTATATGTGTCTAAAATATGTAAAACTGCATAAAAACCAATCTTTGAAGCTCGAAAAATAAGTGTTTATATCACATCTGGTTAAATGCATTTTAACATAATGGTGTAAGTAGATCAACCATATTGAAATTTTGTTCGTGATATGTCACCAACAATCAACTGTTTGTTAACCAACAGTGTGATAGCAGCTGTGCTATAAACACAAAATAAGCATAGCATGGTCCTTGTCCTCAAGGGGCTTCAGTCTGCTCAGAGAAACAATATGAACACCAAGAAACTGATATTCTAGATAATCCACAAAAAAATGTGGAAAGTGTGAGAGCTAAAGAAAGAAGTATGTAATGTTCTCTAAGTGGGATTGGCTTAGTGGGGGAGGTGGTATTGACAGGCCCTTCAGTGCCTCGAGTACCCATTTCCTTCCAGAGAAAGGAGGCATCACTAACAAATCAAAGAAACCCAAAGATGAACAAAGAAATAAACACAGCCTGACAGTCTAAACTTTGTGTTGACTTAGTGGTCAAAAGTCATGCCAGTCAGGCAGGCATCTGTGCTTAGTCTTGATTACCAACTTTGTGGGATGGAGACACATCCAGATGATTAGAAAGGCATGCTCCTGGGTGTGTCTGTCAGGGCGTTTTCAGAGGCGGTTTTCTAAGGGGAAGGGGAAAGATCCACCCTGGACGTAGCCTAGAAGTCAAAGTCCAACAGAGGGAGAAGAAAGTGGAGATCCAGCAGCACAGGCCTCTGCCCATGCTTTCTGGCTGTCGCACTGTGAACTGTGAAGATGGTGATGGACTGGCACCTCTGAAACCGTGAACCCACATAAGACTTCTCTTTAAGTTATTTTTGGTCATGTGCTTTTGTCAAAGCAACAAGAAGCTAAAACCATATCCTATACTATTTTTAGAAATGGATTTTTATTTAATTCTTAAAAGTATGTGACGGTCAAAAATTAATACTTGCCTTTTGTTAAACAATATTTTAAAATCAAATTTGATGGTATTTATAAAATATGCTATGGAACTTGTGTTCTATGCTTTGTTGGCACTGGAATGAGGAAGAACTCACAGCCTCCAGCCAATCTCCTGGAAAAGTTTTGTTGCCTTATGAGTAAGAAAATCAAACTAAAGCCACTCAAATGGTTAACCAACTTATGAAACTCAGTTCATATAAGTTGCTACATGAATGCACGCTTCCTAACACCCACTATATCCCTTTCTAGCAACCAACTAATGGTGCTTTGCAAGCTCGGGGCCACAACTGGATACTTGACAAATCTACTGACTCTGAATTCGAGTCCAGAGACCATATAGTATGTCCATCCTATAATCTCCACCTCTCTTCACTGTGATTCCTCAGTTAAGCACCCATTGGTCACTTGCATGCCAGGCCACACTCTCTTGTGCAGAGATGCCCTCCTTCGCGCCTCTAATGTCTCCAGCTTTTGCCCAGTTTACTGGGATAGAGCATTAGGTTTCCTATGTTCCTTTTCTCTTTGAACAAATCATCTCTCTCCTCCTGGATACCTCAGACAAATGCTAGTGACCCTCCTGTGTTCAGAAAAGGGAAAAAAAGTACTGTTTAAGTATGAGAAAAAAGAATGATGCCACCAAAGTGACATCGGTCCCAGAAGCTTTTCGAAATATGCAAAAAGTTTCCCTAAGAATTGGCATTAAAATAAATCTCTAAAATTTTGTATATGCTTTCACCTCAAAATGTCTGCCCAATAATGGCATTTAAATTATCAAAGTTTAAGTCTCTTTTACAACCAAAGTATTCTTTACTTCATTTTTCTTTGCAAAGGAAGTCCATTTAAATAATATCAATTAGATAGTCTGATAGAACAATAGAAAGCTATTAACTTTGAAGAACTAAATCTTCACCTTAGCATTGTTAAAGAAACTAAAAGGCAGACAGAGAGCCTGTGAGATGCCGGAAACCTGGGGCAGCATGGAAAGAGTAAGAAATGTTTCAAGTTGTGTAATGAAGCAGGTGAGAGGAAAAAGCACATCAGAAATGTGCCAAGCTTAATAAGGAATATGCTGCCTGGCAGAAACAGGAACTTCAGAAAAGGAGAGGGCCTGAGTGGATGGAAGGAAGGAAGGAGATACTAAGTGCACAGAGCTCAGTGCTTCTAAAAGAAATTTCATACAAGCCACATGTCATTTGTATTTGTCTTTGTCTAACAGCCACCCTTCAAAAGAAAAAAAAATAAGCAGGAGAAATCATGATTAATAGTACCCTGCCATATTCACATAATTATAACTTAAAATAATATAAAAATATTGATGAGATTATGTAATTTTCATTTGTTAAAAGTACTAATGTTAAGTTTATTTGTTAATTAAAATTGTTGCTGGTGGGCTAGAGGCAATGTTCATTAGGAAGAACAGCCAGTGCTCTTCCAGAGGTCCTAGCACTGGCACAGTGGCTTACAGCCATTTATGACTATAGTTCTAGGGGATCTGATGCCCTCATCTGGCCTCCTAGCATCCATGTGACACACAGACGTACATGAAACCAGAGCACCCATATATATAAAAAAGTTCTAAATAAGCAAGCAAATAAATCGTTATTATTCTTAATATGTTGCACCAGATCTTTGGAACCAGGCGTCTGCCTCTTATTTACGCATATCCCAATTTAACTAGCTACATTTCAAGTAGTTTCATAGCTGCCTGTAGCTGGTGCTTATCAGGTTGGACGGTGGATTATTAAAACTGACAAGTTACTTAGCAACTTAGCAATTAAGATGGTGCTAAGTCTCTCTACATTTTAGAAGTCATCTTTCCATATATCTCTCCCTCCCCTAGCCTTTTGTGTGAGCTTTTTGAGATTCAAGATTTTTGTTACTGTTGTTTTTGAACCAGAACTCCCAAACCACCAAGATTTTCAGACATACCCATGACATACTGTTTCACTTCTTGGTGCCCTGTTTAGTTCTGTCTTACAATTTAATTACCAAGCCAGTCAGAAGAAACTGTCTTGTCAGTCTTAAACCTTGTGATCATGAAGTAATCGAGTACCATGTTCCCAGAAACCGTAGGTAAATATGCTGTTTAATTCTCTTTCTTTGGGAGTAAGGACTGTACTTCCTCCCCTCCTCTGTCTGCATCTGAATGTTTTCCTCCGGAGCTTAAGAGCTGATGTGAACTTGGTCAGTCTTCACTATATGCCGAAGAATGCAGTACAAAGGCAGGCCTACTTCTATAGAACGCAGGCCAAGGACATCGTGTTCCATCTTTACAATGAAATGCAGATTTCCTATTAAAAAGGCCAATCCATCATTTCAAAAGGTTGAATAGGATGGTGCTTTAAAAAAACCCAGCTGCTTAAATTTAGGGCATTGAAAAGCATCCAATTTAAAAAAAAAAAAATGTTCTCTGGGTCTCAAGCATTTTCATTTGATTATGTATTGGAGAAGGTTTTATTCAATCTAGTCTGGCCTGTTACAATTCTGCCCTAAAATAGTTTGACAAATGTTTTAAGTAAGTTGGACTCCCTGCTGATACCTCATTTACTTGAGTTATAGATTTTGCTATTTAGCATATCTATGCATTTATGAATAAATTATTAATTTTGCACAGGAAATATTAGAATGGGCTCACAGTGCTCTGCCCATACATGTTTTTCCTAGGCCTCCTCCACTCCCGCTGAGTTCCTTTTATCTTTTTTCAACCCTTTGAAGGCTTTGTTTGCCAGAGCGGCCATCTTGTTCGCCAACCAACTTCCCTCAACTTTTGCAGCCCTCTCTTCTCACTGTCTTATTTTTTGTGGTTAAGTACGGAGTCGTATTTTTTCGGGGGGCGGGGGCTACTCCGATGTATTCTGCTCAGTTTTTTGCTGCTGTTGTTTATTTGGTTGGTTGGTGGGTTTGGCGCATAAAATGGCAAAACCCGTGATATCCCCTGCAGTCCCACAGTGTACATGCTCTGTGCTCCTGAGCCGCAAGCTCCTACGTAGCCCTGAATGCTGTAGGAACAGCCAAACTCCTGGCAAACATGGGTGTCTGGGGCACGGTTCCCAGGGGCAGCGATAGAGGTGTTAGAATTGGAGCTATGCGCATGCGCTCCACTACGCTGGGGCGTCAGTCCTCCTCACACAGAGGACTACTGTCTAGTAAGTGCCACGCTAACGGGACCGCTGATGGGTTTTACTAGGGTTCCTAAACTGAGTGTTTGCCTCTCGCCTGTTACATGGATTGGAAGGCATTTACACAATGTCCCTGGGCCAGTGGCTTAAAAGTGCCCTCTGGTAAGTCTTTGGCGTTTGCTGTGTTTTACCAACATGGTTTGGTCACATTTGCACACGTCACCTTTCCAATATCCATATTATGTATAAAGAATTGTCTGGTTTTAAAAGAGAACTTGTGTTAATGAATACCCAGCTAACCCTAGTGGCTTTTCCCAAGTGGACTAATAACTCTGAGTTGTGTAGAAAAGTCCTTTTGTGGACCTATACTTCATCTTAGCCCCAGATGAAGGAAGGGTTCTCTGTGCTTTATCTCAGTTTATGGGGTACTTCATACCAGGGTCCTTGTGCGTCTCCACTCCCCTGCCAATGCTGGCTATCAAAACTGCTTAGGCTGCACATAAAACGTGAAATGAAATCCATCTGGCATTTCTCATTGAATTAGGACCAGAACATTTTTGCTAAATATTAACAGATGGCTAAATTCTTAATATCAAACTAACATTTCAAAACATCTAAGGGGGCAAGGATAGAGGAGCATGTGTTTTCTCCATCTCCGAGTCTTTCCTGTACACCCCCTACCCCACCCCAACCCCACCCCTAAGCTCTGAACCCATGTGTTGAGAATCACTGGATTCCACTGTCTCCGATAACTTGTATTCCTTGGGTATTCCTGGTGTAAAAGTAGTGACTGTCAAGTTAACGTAATCAAGTGTGATCGAGTGGTAGCCAGTTCAGGTGGTGTGTTGCCATTGGTGTTTTTTATTAAAGTCCGTTCTCTCTCACCTGTGTTAACAGGAGAAAGAAAAGAAATACATGCTTCCACTGGACAACCTGAAGGTCCGGGATGTGGAGAAGGGCTTCATGTCCAGCAAGCACGTCTTTGCACTCTTTAACACAGAACAAAGGTAAGACAGTGAAGCAGTCTTTACGTTAAGAATTTTTCTCTCACACTTAATTTTTTTTTTCCAGTCAGGATCTCAGGTACCTCAGGCTAGCCTAGAGTTCATTATTATAGCCAAGGCTGGCCTTGAACTTCTGTCTAATCCTCCTGCCTCCACCTCCCAAGTGTGGAAATAACAGGCAAGCGCCACTACATCAGCTTTCCTTAGGCTTGTGTTATATTTTTAACATCCACCACAGGTTATGGCTTTAAAAGACTAAAACAGAGTCAGAAAGATTTTCAAATCCTGCTGTATTTCCTGGTGTTCCAGCAGGCCCTAAAATCTTGCCAAATAATTTCCTAAAACTATATTTTACTACCTATAGTTCTCCACATCAGGGTTTATTACTTACAAACTTAGAAATCCTCATCTTTTTTTTTTTTAATTTTTTCTTGCTTGTGGAATTGAAACAATTGCACAGAAAGTTAAAAAAGATGGAAGGCTGTGGGTGAGCATTCTGTAAGTTAGAAAGCATGGTTTCAATGTTCTTTTGACTTTCTTAGATCACACAAGGCAGACTTGGACTCAGAAGTGGAAGCTGAGTCAGGCCTTTGGTCTACTCTTCCTTCCTTGCCTACTCCTCATGCCATTTTTCTAATTTCTCCTTTTATTGCTGTTGGGGATTGTCAAGGCTTGATTTAGTGCCAACCATCGACCATCCCCAGGTGCTATGGCTGTTCACTAAAACTAAGCCATGGAATTGAACAAACAATGGATGGAAATGTGCTACAGTCGGACAGAAATAATAAAGGGGGTGCTTTTATTTTTCCTCAGTTGGAAATGCTACAAGAAAAATCTAATTTGTGTAAATTAATGAGAAATGAGTCACCAGGTGGCAGGGTCTAATTTTAACCCGTGTTTCCAGGCTACGTTTTATCTTTATTTAGCAATGAATGAAGTTACTTGATTAGGTTCAGTGACAAGCCCAGGGTCAATCACACAGTTAATCAAAACAGCAAAAGGAGACTTCTTCCTACATTCCCAGTCAGTTGCTCAGAATGACTCAGAATACTAAAATACTTGGAAAAACCACAAGAACAAACCATTTTAAGAACCAAGGGGAAAGAACATGAAATACCACTCTCCAGTGAAATATTGAAATGGGATTCCCACCCCCCTTGGAGGACTTGGTGTTTCTTGAAAGTAGCTTGTGTGAAAGAAAACAAAACAAAACAAAAAAAAAAAACCCACTGAAAATGATGAATAAAAAGTCATGTTTGAGCAGTAAGGATCCTCTAGAGCCCAGCTCAGTGCTGTTTTGGGCTCTTCTGAGTTCCTGGAGAATCTGAAGAGCTAAAGGGTGTGCTCTGTGAGAGTTCAGTCAAATCAGATGTCCAACAAGTGTCCACCGGAAGGTTCAGTTATTAAAGAGCTTGGAACAGGAAGAAATACAACTGTAACTGTTAAAAAGTACAAGCATCGCCAAAGTAAGAATATTCTAGGTTTTAGAAAAATGTAGATCTTCTGGAATCCTTGAATCCTAAAATGATACTGAATTCTGCCATTCCCTCAGAGACCTCTTCCAGACACAGCTACCCCAAGCAATACATTTTCCTTTAAAATCTTGAGCTTTTTGAAAGGTGTTTGTGCTAAGTCTGCCAGGACAGTGTTGATCATAAGTGGGTGTTCTCATTCTGTTTCTGTTTTTGAAGGGAATCATTTGAAATGTTTTACATTATGTATTTTTAGAAAAATATCTGGCCAGGTGCGGTGGTGAATGCCTGTAATCCCAGCACTTGGGAAAACAGGGGCAGGCAGATCTATGGGAGTTCAAGGCCAGCCTGGTCTACAAAGTGAGTCTAGGATAGCCAAGGCTACCCAGAGAACTCTGTCTTAAAAAACCAAAAACAAACAAACAACAACAAAGGAAGGAAGGAAGGAAGGAAGGAAGGAAGGAAGGAAGGAAGGAAGGAGAGAAACATTCTGTATTCCTTGGTACAAAGGATTCTGGATACACTTTCAAACCAAGGCAAGCTGATCGACATTGTCAATATCTCCACCTAGTAGACTATTTGATATTTTTCCCCTACAATCTACTTGTGTAGTGCAACACACTATTAGCACTCCCAAAGAACCATCCTTGATCTCTTACAGTCATTGTGGAGCTAGTATTTTTTTAAGCTTGTACAATAATTTTCACAAGGAAGACTGAGCAACAGTTTCCCTTGTGTACCACCCCTGGCAAGTTTGAGTATCAAGGTTCTTAGCTTCATAAAGTTGCATGCCATTAAACACTAATTGCTCTTTGGAACAGTTTGTTAAAAAACTGGCATTAACCATGGCTGATTGAAGGAAGTCACTGCTAAAATCATCTAGCCTGGAAGGTGTTTTTAAAAAGAATATTTTTTTTTAAGTCTTGGAGAATTTCATATGAGTGTACAGGGTATTTTGATCATATTCCCCCTCATTTTTTTTCTGCCAGCTCCTCACAGGTCCATCTCCTACCTCCCCACCTACTAACCATATTATGTAACATATATATCTATATCTATCTATCTATCTATCTATCTATCTATCTATCTAGATATATATATATATATATGTATATATATATATGTGCGATTCTTCAGCAAGTACCCTTAATGTCTTCTGCTGCTTGCCACAGTATTGGTTATAATATTTTCATCAGTCTTCAGCTCTGTTGCGAGCTTCTCTGTTTTCCTCTTCCCTTTGTGCTATTCAGAAATATATTTCATGTTTTATAATGCATGGAACTTTATTGTCTTGTTGTTGTTTATTTCAAACTTGATTGTCTTGTGGTCAGACCATGTGGTCTGGCACATTCTGAATTTTCATAAGAACTTCATGCCTGTTTGAGAGCATGTCTTCACGAGTTAGAAGTGCAGGCTCCGGGTCATGCTTGTTGATTGCATTACCTGATCTCTGTTGTTGAGATCTGATTTTCATCTTGACTAATTCAAACACTCAACAAGTATACTCAGCGACTACTGTGTATTCTGTTTCTCTGAGCTTTAAAAATATGACTGTGGACAAAACAGACAAAAAAGCTTGACTGTAGATAAATTCCAGAGAGAGGACTGACAAGAGAGATAGTTAAAAAGTGATAAACAACTATACGTCACCTAGTGGGCTTGAAAATTTCAGTTGTTGCTTTAAGTGTTTTTAGGATAATCTATGCTTTTATTGTCACTAAAACTTAGAATTCCTAGGGTGGAAAGATGGCTCAGTGGCTTAGAGTCATGCTGCTTTTACAGAGGACCCAAGTTTGGCATCCAGCATTCACATCAGGTAGTTCACAACCTCGTGTACTCCAGCTCTGTGGGATCTGACACCCTATTCTAGGCTCTGTGGGCACTGCGCTCGTGTTCAGATTCACACATAGAGATACACATATGCACATACACATAATTGAAATGGAAACAAAATTCTTAACAAACTTAGAATTCCTAGTAATTTTAAGGAACAGTTTTGTAAAAGATTCTTTCTTTCTCGTAATGGTCTTTTTTCTTAAAATTTGCTTTGTCTGAAATCAATATTGTATAGCTTCTGGTTAATACTTTCTCAGTGTGCCTTTTGTGTCCTTTTGTTATCAATCTTTGTTGATCTTCAGTGTTTCTCTTTTAGTAGCATATATCTAGATTTCTTTATTTTAAATCTAATATAAAATCTTTAAGGGGATCTGAGTAACTTTAGCCCATTTGTATTTTGTAATCATCACTGAGTTATTTGAATTTAATTTGAGTGTCATTTTCCATCTTCATTGTGTCTTCCTATATACTTTCCCCACTTCCTGACCTCTTACTTTTCTCTAGTTTGGTAGTTATACACTGTGTTTATTGTCTTTTAAATTTTTAATACTATGACATTCCTATTTGTCATAAAATCATAAGTTAGTCTTTCTATCTTATTTTTAAAATAACCAGACCCATTTTGATTACAATAACCATCTTCTCATATCCACATTGTTGTTGTCAATATTTAAATTCCACCTTAGTTTTCACACTGCTTTAGTCAATAGAATGTTCTGTATTAGAAACATAAACATGATGAGTGTTTTAGATATACTGACATAATTACCAAGTTACTGACTCACCTTTCTTCTTGAATTAAATGTATGTTTTGGTTTGGTTTCTGTGTTCTTCATAAGAAAGTACATCCTGAAGAAATCCTCTTAATAGTTGCTACTTGGTTAAAATCTCAAGGTCAGTATTTACTTTCCTTAAAATGTTTTTATTTTGACCTCATTTTTAAATACACCTTTCACTAGATAGTAAGCTACAAACTGACCTTTGTTCAATTAGATAGAAATAAACAGGATAGAATGTACCCCATCACATTGAAGGTACTTCTTTAGAATCTGCCTCAGTCCTGCTTTGGAGAGGTCAGCTGTCAGAGGTCAGTCCATTTGTTGTCCCATTTTAAGCCAATCTGTATTTTGTTACCAGTTCATTTAAAGATCTCCTTTATCTTTGGTACTCTGAGATATACTTTGTTTATATGGATTGATGTTGTTTTGTGTCCTTCCCTTGGGATTCATTTACTTCTTAATGCTGAGGGCTCACACTCTTTCAAAAATGTGAGATTTTAACATTTTTGTTCTTTTCTTCTAATCTTGTTTTTCGTTATAAATCCCATCTAGATATATGCTAGAGAATTTTTGTCTTTTTCCCATGTATTGAACCCTCCCTTCACATGCTGCATCTCTCTGTGTCTTGTGTAGGTTTCTTTTTGGTACCACTTTCCAGTTTATTAACTCATCTTTGCTCAGGACACAGTAAATTACCAGGTTTTTTGTTTTTTGTTTTGGTTTTTTTTTGGGGGGGGTTGTCTTTTTTTGTTTATTTGTTTTGGGTTTTTTTGTGTGTTTTTTGTTTGGTTGGTTGGTTTTTGTTTTATTTATTTATAGGGGACTAATTTTTTTTCCCCCCAATTTATCCTTTACCTAGAGATATGACCTTAGGAAGGTCCTGGTTCTCACATACGATCCAATGTATTCTTTAGCG